CCGCACCAATGCAGTGGTCATGGAAATCTCTCGTAACACGCAGAGCAAAGAACTTCCTTCCTCTATTTCAGCAAACATTGCGATATGCTGCCTGTTGAGTGCAAACCAACCAGTTCAATCGCTTCGGTATCTGCGTTGTAGTTGAAGCAATTCCACCATCCATTACATGTTAACAAATGTTAGTGTGTCAAGGACAATGTAGAACAGATAAGAAAAGTCAGGCAATGATGTAATATTTTATAGATTTATTGTATTAGAATAAGTCGGAAGAAATGCGGTTTCCAAATCATGCTTGTATCGGCTGGGTGCTAATTTTCCTCCCCTTCTTTGGTTCTTTAATGCAGGCATGCCGGCATAGCCTCCTTGATTTGAAGACGTTAGCATTGCCTCCGTAACCGCGGAAGAAAATATGACAACGTCCCGATGTGGAATTAAAGGCAAACGCTCTGAGGTGGTATGGACCGTGTCCTCTATCTATTGTTAGGTTGCAGACATTCTCTCTGCCTAAAATTTGACCCACATTTAATTAAATGCCTTTGAGTTTGGCAGTCTATTGCTTATAGCATGTTTGAACTTTAAAATCCATCTGTAGAGTGGGCTGTAGTACAAGTATCAGCGGTATTAGCGATGCGCTATCAACGCTTGTAATTCCATGGCAGCGGATGCACATTGTATGGAGCACCGTTGAGGCTGCAAGCAATGTTGGCGGGTGTACTCCACATTTCAGTGGTATCACATACCCCTCCTAGCACCCACTGCATTTAGCTTGTCGTACATTACTTTTTCACTCTATCTTGATTGGACTCGAATAGCGAGAAAAGATGGGTGATTGATGAGTCCAGTGGATACTTTACAAGATGGGGAATGAGAAAGAGAACTGAAGGGACAAGCTGCACATATTAGTGGCGGTATATATATGGTACGAATGTGCTGGAGTGTGGAGGCACAGGGAAAGTTGTTCACTTACTTTGATTAAGGTTGGCAAAACACAGTGTTATGAGAGCTAGAAGAATGAGTTTGGTCATCGCCATCCGATGGTGTGATCAACTGTCCTTGAGTAAATGTGGCCTCCCATTTATATACACAATCCTCCAGTGCTTATTTATTTGGGTCATGACTATAGACTTTAGTGATTGTAGCCCGTGAGCCCTGGTCACAGTAGGGGATGCATATCACAATGCTACAATAAAGTGTTCTCCACAAAAGTACATTCACGTTTCTTATTATGGTTGAGTGGAGTGGATTACAAGATAAGTAACACCTCAACAGAAGAGTCTCAGGAAGGAGCGGAGATAAGTGAAAAATTCTTTTTTACTGCTTCCGCATACAATGACCACTTGCGGCTTTGCAGCACTACAATGTGTAGTGGGCTCTGCAGGATGTTAGAGAGAGTAGTAGATGGCAGTTAAACCTGCCGCCTGTAAGTCAAACAAAGTCCATCACATGCATTTGCGTTTCAAGCATTGCTGACCATGTCTGTGTTAAATATCGCCGAAAGTTAGTAGCATTTGCATCAATAGAAAAGGATTTGCAAACAAACTTAGAAATTACCACCAAAATAAATAGCACCTTAATGGAAGACTCTTGGGAAAGAGGAAAGTCTATGATAAATTTTTGTTTACTAATTTCTCATACATTGCTTTGAAACTATCTAAATTACTAGTTGAAGTAAACCCAAGGTGGAAAATGAACAGCTTCAACTTTGGTTAGCTTGAAGCTAAGTACCCAAAAAGGCAAGGGATTTCACCATAGATCATAGTGACATTAAGCAGTTTAGTTTTGCCTCATTTTGGTGCACTGAACACTCCAACTTGACGATCCATCTGCTCTCTACAAATAACTTCATGTCTGGGCTACTCATCGTTAAGATGGTGTTAGTTACGATCGTCAAGTTGTGAAGTGCAGCCAACATTATCTTGTCCGTAGTGCATGCATTATATTTAGAAGATTAACCACGATCGTGACAGACAAGTCCTCCTATCGGCAGATGCACGGACAAGTTGGCAAGACTGGTATCAGTGAGGGTCAGAGGGACACTACGGGTGATGCACTCAATTCCCAGCCTTCACAGCCTCGCCGTGTCGGTATTCACAGCAAACGAAACACAGCACAATTTGACATTTCGTTACAATCAGCTGCCAACACTTGGAAGCGAGATGAGAAGAAGTAGGTCTCTCGTTGCTTGGCGGAATCATGGCTGATAATGTTGGAATGGAAGCTTGCTTTAGTAGTGGACCTGAGTACTGCGGCTTGCCAAATATCTATCCTTCTGGAGTTTATACAAACTCACCTACCAATCAAGACCAAGACACGTCTTACCCAACAAATTTGTCAGTCGAAATGCCTCAGGGTGCTGTAGAAATGTGGACGAGACCCTTTCATATGTGGACAAACGGGCTGACAGGCCTTAGTGGAAATAACATGATATTGAGTGCAGCCTGACACACCAACATAGACAGGCTTCTTTGGTCACACTGCACTGTCTTCAAGGCAATTAAATTGGTTCATGTGTCCAACAATAGAGGGGATGCTTAAACACTGTCTAGTGCTATGCAGAAAAGTGCTGTTGTAGGGATTTCCCCTTCTTTCAACATTTAAGTAATTGCCAAAAACCACTTTTGAAGGAAGAATCATACAAGAGGGTGGTAATGGCACATTGACTACCGCGCGACGTTTCGCACGAGTGAGCAAATAAGGGGAGGAGTGTAGGACAAAAATAAGGCAGTGCTAAAGCTGATAGACTGCGTTTCATGGTGCACGCTGGTAAGCAGTGGTAAACACTTCACAACCTCCTTCTTTGCAGTGTACAGCAAGTCGTTTTAATAGGCTCTACGAAGACTGTTGAAAGCACTTCTGTCAGCTCAGTTTAATGACCATACAGCTCTTCCCTCCTCATTCTCCTTAATCATCTTGGTAAATATCAAAGCAGAGGCTGATCTACTTTCCCCTTTCACTATTATTTCTACGGAACTGGTAAAGTTAGGGTGGCGCCACGTCACTGCGACTTGTATGCAATAGATTTAAATAAAAGCTAATATTCTTCCACCACTTTCCCTGATATTCACCCAGTTCCACACTCATCCATCCTTCCAGTTATCCACCTATCCCGTGTCCATTCACCCTTCCCTCCAACCAACATTCTCTCCTCCCGCTCATCTCCCCGCCTATCCCTCCATCCATCCATCCACTCACAAAAGGCAGTGTTTGCATTTGCCTGATGTTGTTATTACCTATTTAACACAAGTAGTCTTTTCCTAGGAACCAATCTAAAGTGGTAAATCCTGAAATGGGAGGGCACATACATGGTGGAGTAAAATACAAGTCAACTAGATAGCACCAGTTCATCTCTATCCTTCAAGATGGAATCGCTATTTACTTTGTGCCGCGTCCAAATTCAACAAGTCGTAGTCTCTGGCAATCGTGAAAGAAATAGGGGTTTGAGTGATGAAGCGCTTGAAGCGATTGAAGGAAAGCCTCACCAATGGTGAGCGCACTGGGCACGTCACTGGATGGAGGTGTGACAAAGGGAAAGAAAACTACGGGCAGGACATAAGAAGAGCTGTTGGCTTGCCTTGACTGAGGCATACGACAGAGAGTAGCGTGACAGCTAGAAGAACGAGCATGGTCACGGCGATGCAGTGGTGTGATCAGATGGCCTTGTGTAACGGCGTCCTCCCTTCTTTATATACATACAATAGTGGTGTGGTTATTTGACTGGGTCAAGAAGACACCCTTCAGTGAATGCAGTCTCGATGAGCAGACTATGATTTCAGACACATGTGGCAACAATAAATTAATAAATTTTGCTGGGAGGCATGTGCAATTTGAATTAGATATCTTCACTGGAGTCGACTGCAAAGGAAAGAGCACTGTGGTGAAAGTGTCTAGATAAGCAGGGGATGCCTAATTATTTCTTGCTTCCTACTTACTCATTTATCGTTGCTCTGTGCCAAAAACCGCTTGGAGCAGGCTTGAACGTTGCCTTACTGAACGATGGCCGAAGTCGATCATGGTGTGGGAGAGTGCCTGATGGCAAGGTTTATTGCTTCACTAATTGTTGAATGAGAAGTCTTGCCGGCTGAATGGATGGAAGATTGGCTGCCTGTCTGCATGACCGAATGTTTGTGTGGCTGGATGACTATGTGGCTGGGTGGCTACAACTGTGACAAGTCTCAATTTCATTACTCCATCCATGTCCACTTGACATGGCGAATATCTGTGATAGCAAAATAGTAAGGCAGGGCTCGTACACGTGGAGACCTCAAGAAATTTCATGGTGCTTGCCATGCTACACTGCACTTATTCCAAACCGTCTTATCAATGTCCTGTCAAAGCCACGTAATATCATGTTGTAATATGGTAGGATATAAATAAGGCTTAGAGGAGCTGGTGCAAGTGGCGTTAAATTGCATTGCAAAGCGTAAATAAACCTTCGAATGTGCGGGGTTGTTTGTGGAGGTGATGCCTGCATTCTACTTGGAGGAGATGCTGCATACGGCAGCATGAAATGCAGCAGTCAAATGAACCGACGACGGTCACATGTCACTGGCACACCAAAGTGCCTTCATTTGGTGTACATTCTTGCTGTGTTCCAAGCGAATCTATGCCATGCTAAACAACGACCCAATTGCCATTTGGCAAGAAGTCTGTTAGAACAAACCAGTCCTGTAGCCTTATCATGACAGTTGCGGTGGGGAGCATCCTGCTAACAGTGATGCTTGCAAGGGAAAGGAAAGTGTCAGATGGACGACAGCTAGGCTGGATGGGCGTAGACGGGGAGGTTTTCATTTTACGCAAGATGAGATGTAGCGCTGTCAGTCTATTCCACATGCTCAATTCTTGCCAGTAATCCGTAATTACGTGTGGTCATCGTCCTGTCATTGGCATTCACAGGAAATTTGCTCGACTTCAATTGACTCCCTCTTGTAGTGTCGGACCTAAAGAATATTTTTGCCTCTGATGAGGTTCTCCTCGGATGGCTTAGTGAAATTTGGACAGGGTGAGATCCAGCCACGTCACTCCAAGCCAACTATTCTGTCAGTGACAGATGTGATTGACATGACAAAGACCAATTGAAGAATTCGTCGATGGATAGACTTCGCACTGAAATGTAGTTTTTCCATGTCATATGACAGCAATTTAATTTGTGGTGCTCCAAGTGGCACAATTTGCTTTTGGGTGTGTGCTCACTCAGGGAAGTTGAGGCGAGGCCGTGCGTGGTGAAGTGAGACAAGGTGGCGTGATGCTGTATAAAGTGAGACGACGATGCAATTTAAATTACTGTTAGTGAATGAGTGCAACTGTACGGGATAAGCAAAGCTGTCTATTTGGTGCTCAAGCCCACATCCTGAATCACCCACCTCAGCGTTTCATCCTTTATATTGGATTGCACTAGGCATTCCCCACTTTGTCGATGCTGCATTTCAACGAAGATTGCTCTCCAATGCTCAGTACTGTGACACCTCAACCATGGTTCATGAGTCGTAGGCGTGTCACTTAAGGAATGGAATGTAATTGAACGTCGTAGTAGCTACTGCCAACCACTTGACTGTGCGTCGACTGATGGGATGGCTCGTCTGCCATGCGGCTTCCGCCTACAACGTGCCTGCTACACATCAAATAATGTGGGTCGCAACTCGCCAACTATGTGAAATGACGGTACCTAGCATTGGCAGAAGAAAGAGGCAATTAGGAGTGCATCCAGCGTGTTGATGCACCTTCTTAGGAGGTAAAGTGGGGCGACGAAGTAGAGTGATTTGAGTTATCAAATTGAAATGCTGATTGGGAGAGTGAGTGGGGTAAAAATG